AGCTCCACGGCGCCCACCACCTCTTTGCGGATGGCGTGCAGCAGGGCATCACCCACGTACACGTTATAACTCAGCAGCAGCTCCACGATTTCCAGGTTCTCGTTCTCAATGGCAATGAGCAGAGCTGTGCGTCCCAGTGGGTCGATGCAATTGATGTTGATTCTGAAATAAATCTCGGCGTCCATCAGGGCTTCTTTTACACTGGAGTAGTCTCCCTTCTCCACAGCACCCAGGTAGGCCCTCTCCATCAGGGAGAGTTCAGACTCAGCCCGGACGATCTGCAAGGGGATGCGGTCTCTGTATGAAGAGTTGCCATTTTTGCGGTAATAGAGCTGCGACATTGTTGCAGCACCTAAAACAATATCTAAGAACAAGCAAAAAAAACAAAAACAAAAAAACAAAAAAAAAAAACCCCAAAGTAGATTTAAAAATAATTCTGTATTTATAAATGATAACAACAATAATAATAATAAATATTCACAATCGTCAGGCATCACTTGAATTTGAAATCATGCTGTTTAAATATGGAGCTTTGTTGAAATGTAGGGCCTTCTCATTTCCCTTCATAGCTTAGCATAACATAACAGCAACTGTGTTTTAAATCAGGTTGTTGTGTACAGGTCTATATTTACTTTGTTTGTTTCTTTGTTTTTGTTGTTGTTTTTGCTAATTTACCTATGGTATCACACCCTTTTCATTATTTTTTTTTGCTCTGTGAGAAGTACTCTAACACACACTATATGTACAAATAAAGTGATAAGGTACAGAATTATAACCGTAACCATTATTGTTGTTTTTTTTACTATAGTATTGTTTTATTTAAATTGAGAAGTAAAACTGAAAAATATTCACTCACTAAAATGGGTGACTATAAACATTTAACAAACAACGTTTCATCACAACAACACATTATTGCTTACATGCATTAAAATACAGCAGAAACTTTTACCGTTCTCCTGTTGCTCTGCGCTGTAACTTCCCTCATGAGCCTGAGGAAGGAGGTCTGGGAGCGGAGTCAGTCTTGGAGGAAAGTTGAACGTCGGAGCGACTGTATCCTCGTCTCCTCACCTTATTGTTGTTGCCCTCCCTCCTCTCTGGTCTCTGTGTGTGTGTGCGTGTGCGTGTGTGTGTGTGTGTGTGAGAGAGAGCATTTTAAAGCCACACTGTTAGTGACCTTCATGTTTCTCCGTAACACTAAAAGCTGAAACACTAAAACCTAAGTGCGCGCTTCCAGGACACTTCTGACGCGTAAACCGCGCCCTAGAATAAAAGCTGACCAAACCTGGCTCTGCTGAAATTCGCTATAAATGTTTGTATAAATGTAATATTTATGGTATTTAACGTAAACAATCGACATATCATGTCCGCTTGTCCTGCCTTGCTACTTCTCCCTCACCTTAATTAGTTTGACCACCCACACCTGTTACCTCTTGATTCCCCTGTGGGGGGGGGGGCGTATCTCGTGCGCACGAGAAACGTTTCTTTTTCTTCTCCATGTCCCTTTAGGGGCTCCGTATGTTTCTCTTTCAAATACAGCGTTTTGAAAAAAAAATTATAAATTTTTATTTGAAAATGTTTTTAAAAAAAAAAAAATTATAAATTTTTTTTTTGAAAATGTTTTCGAAAAACATTTTGGTCAGATCCTGAAAAATTTTGATAATCTTTGAAAAAAAAATCCAAAATTGTATCTTGATATCTGTATTCTATCTGCATGTTTCTCATAAAAATATAGCTTTTTTAAAAAAGAATTTTAGAAAAGAAAATTAAAAAAATGTTTGGAATTTTTTGGCAAAACCCTACTTTTTGGTGATATGTTGAAAAAGTTTGATAAAAATCTTTGAAAATTGTTTTTTCAAAATTTTATATTTTCTGCATGTTTCTCACCAAAATAAGTTTTTCACTTGTGCCTGTTCTGCAGACTGAACCCTGATCCACAGCTTTACTAGTCCATGGTCTTAAGAAGAAAATGACTTATCTTTTAAGTGTAATTTTCTTCTATATTGACCAAAACATGGTATAATTTTAAACTTCTTGTTTATGTCCCTCAAACTCAGACTCCAAACTCGTTACCCTGCCTCAAAATCAACTAAAATGATGTACTTTGACTCAACCTTTAGAAATTCAATTTAACACAAATAGTTCAAAGTCCATTCTTAGATTTAAATAATAGTTTGTTTCTTTTAAAAACCTAATAGGGGAAAAAGTAAAAACTACTTTTACTTGAAAAATTATTTATTTGCAGACCGTGTTGTGCTTTTTGGTCTATGTTACAAATACTTACAGCACATCTAGGTGTTTCTCCTGTCTAACAATATCCGTTCCCAAATCGTCCTTATTGAATACTTATAGACAATACATATGTATATACACACGTACACCATGTGCATAAAACCTCCAAACGTACTCACAACATTTCGAGTGGAAAAAGAACCACAGCATAATTGATACAGTGTTTACAACTAAATTAACAAAAATATGTGCAACGAAAACAAAGATTGGGGTAAACATTGTATAAAGGTATGATAATAGATGTTGCATAGAAGTGTTTTCAATTAAAAACAAAGAGGCAGAAAAGGCTACAGGTATGATGCAATGTCTAGATGTCGTTAATACTAACAGTGTGAGGTAATCAGATTTATCCGCCTGGATTTGAATACTGACAAACATTGGTGAAGCTAACTGTGCATGTTTTTAACCTTATGAGCAGGATTCAGTTGTCAGTATTTGAATCATTTTAAAAATAATAATAATATTAAATACTAGTGAAGTGAAAAATAAATTAATACATTTAAAACTGGGGAAAACACGTCAACTCAGTCTAAAACATTTAATTCCCTTTTCTGAAGAAACATGACATGTTCTTCTATGTTTTACATTTGACAGCAAACGAATATCAGTTTGTTATTATGGGAGTTTTGCTCATCACTAACCGACCTCTGTAGACTTTGTAAAAGAAATTAACTTGGCTCTGAATGTAGACCTTTTGCCTTGTGGATGTGAAATTCTGTTAAGCTGTGACAACATATAGAGGTAAAATCAAAGATAGAATGAAGCACAACCAGAAGCAGAAATCTGAAATAAAACAAAAACTTTTCCGACACGAACCGTCACCTTAGCACAGCTATACTCTGCATGTGTTGGAAAAAGTGGTTTAAAGAGACTCGATTTAACTGTTTTAAAAATAACAGACAGATTTAACATAGAAATAACATAATTTTCATTAATTCTTGTAATAATTAAATCATGTATTGCCTTCTGTTTTGAATTTTAAAACGTATACCTAGAGGTAATTCATTTGTCTTTATCTGAACCCATGTTTGCTTCGTTCATTTCTTATGTACAGTCTTTGGTTTCCTCAAGATTAAATTAATGACCTACAATATATTGTGTTTATCTTGGTACTTTTTTTTTTAATTTGTAATTTGTACAGTGTTTTAATATCTTGAAATGTGGGCCAACTTGTGGAAATTGTGGAAATTAGTTATTGAAAACCCAGCAGGTCAGACGCGTATTTCACAATTGTATTCATTCAGTAGTGAGATGCTGCTTTTTACATATTAAAACAAATATAAAAATAAAATGCATGCGGAAACAATAACACAAAAAATTATATTCTGCAAAAAATATGTGTGATTTGGATGTTGTGCTGATCCCACCCCAGCCAGCAGGTGCCTCTGTGTACCATAGAGCTCTAGTTTGATTACACTAGTATGGACAGGAGTGTGGTTTTAAACAGGGAACATGTAGACATTTAGTACAACACTAACCCAGAACCAATGATGAGCCCATCAACTCGCTGCTTACCCACACAGATCCAGACCATCAGGAACTGTAAAATCCTGTTCTGCGATAACATTTATCCAGTGTAGCAACTAATCATTGGTGTTTTAATGCAGTGAATATTTTAAATTCTGTAACACTCCCGATTGCACAGGCATCTTCTTGCAGCACCTTTGGAAAAACAACTTGTTTTTTGGATGTAATGCCTTCAAAAGCAAATGAAGAGGAGAGTGACAACAACTTGACAAGTGCCTTTAAAAAAAAAGCTAATAACATCGTCTTTCTCGTAGTTTTTGTCCAGGCAATGAGTGTCTTCCTGTATTTCAAGTAGATTTTGGAAAGGAATCAAAGCTCTTGTCGTTTTTGTGTTGTTTGACACAATCGTCAACTCTTGTGAAAAATGAGGCACTTGCAAAAGAAAAAGAACGTAAACTGAACCTGTCAGTCCGTCAGAAGGGCTACACCTCTGAGCTGTCACTGTTACTGAGGGCTTGTGTCATCATGGGCTCTGCGCTGCCCGAGGTCTTAGCTACATCCTTTTTCTCTTGCTTAGACCGAACCAGTAAGGCCACCACGATGGCAATGAGAACAGTGAGGAGCAGGCCGACAAAGACGCCGATGATCAGCACCAGTCTGTCGCCGCCATTGTCTCTCTGGTTTACCTCGTGGGGGATGATTCCTTTGGTAAAGATTTCCCTCTCTGGGCTCGTCCGGCGTTGACTGCTACGGTCTAACGCGATGTGCAGGATGTTGGTGCCACGGTTGTTGTTCACGCCGATTTCGTCCACGATCTCTGGCACATCATTGGCTGATCTAGGAGTGCGCTGTGGTTTCTTTGGAATCTGAATTGTGTGCTGGCTCATTACATGATACTCCAGACTCCTCTTTCCAATGCCACGGTTGGCGTTGTCACGTGAGCGAACGGTGTAGATGGTGTGAATGTACCACTCTCTCCCTGCAGACACCTGGACAAACCAAGTTTCTCAAAAAAATATAAAAATGCACTAATTTGCTTTACTAATTTGATCAACTTTTGATCACCGTAATATGTTATACAAAAATTCAAAAAAAAAAAAAAAGTCTTCAAAAATAAAAGCTTCTCAAACAGGAATAAAAATGCACTGATTTGCCTTAAAAATACATATCTATATCATTTTTTAATTCAGAAAAAAATACTTTTTCAAGGGCTACCTTTGATTTGATTTTTGATTTGTTTCTGCTTTGTGTACTTACCTGGAAGAGAGCTGCAGAATCCATCCTGAAACCATCAGAGCCAGGCTGTCTCACCAGGACCAGGGCTCCAGGGTCATCAACTGCCAAGAAGGCATTGAACATGACACCACCGAAGGAGCGAGCCTGGGTCTCTGGCTGAGCTCTGTCCTGCAAAACAATGAACCAGGAAGGTTTCTTTATAATTTCTGAGAAAAACAAAATAATGATTTTGGTTTAAGTTTATGAGCAGAAAAGATTATTGTCATTTCTAGACAAGATGGCAGCCGTGCAACAACATCCCATAGACAACCTTGAACTATAGTTACTGTTACTTTAAGATTGTCACGAGTGTGAAACCAGAGGAGTTTATTTATGTGGATCATTCTTTAAGTGTTTTTTTTTTGTTACAAATCAAATGCAACTTTTTTTCTTTTGTAACTTACAATGATCTTAAATCTGTAGAGCAGGGACGGAGCATCAGCCAAGCAGCCAAACTCAAAGTTGCTAGGACTATATTTTGGGACGTAACCATCGGCTCCAGTGCAGAGGAACACTTTCTCTATATTACACATGAAGGAGTCGCCCAGGTTCTGCACAGGGTCCACCATCACTCGGCCATAAATGATATCACCTAACGGCAGAAAGAAAAATAAAAATACAGTATGTGTTCATAGATGTTATATGTTCAGAAGCCATTTAGTCTAACTGCTGATTTGCTAATAATAAACTTTGAAACTGTTTTTGCGATAATTACTTCAACTTTTGGAAAATTCCATAAAAGCTGTCAAAATGACTGATGAGAGTAATCACATTTTTAAACGAGTCAATTCATTATTCTTGACAAATCTATTCTTTATACAGAATGCCTTTTCTTAATAGTTTGATGAAGAAAAGGGGCTTTAACTTTAAATGAATTAATCACAGGGTAGCTGTGAATGAATCACGATTAATCACGATCACAATGTATCTTGATTTTCATGGCTAATAATCTTAATTTGTCCTGACTCGTCACAATTAATCAAAGTCATGCCTACAGTATGACAAAACACATTATTGTCTGTTTATTGTTGAAATAGTAAGATACATAACAGCAGGTACACTATATTTTTTGTGACTAATCTAAATGATGAAAGGAATTATTAATATGGAAAAATGTCAAGAAATTACACAAAAATATAACTGAAATCATTCTATTTTTTTTGGTTGAATTCATTTCCAAACTCTACATGTAAAAGGAGGTTTTAATTTTAATAATCTTTTTTTACCTTGTGAAAATGCAGTGTCGCTCTCTTGTCCAAAGCCCATGGAGCCGTCTGAGAGCCAGAGCGTGCGTTTAGACAACAAAATCATCTGTGTGTTCAGACTGAACTCAGCAGCAACAGGATCACTGACCTGGAGTCACACAAAAAGACAACTCACGCACCCAATTAAACAAACGAATCAAACAGTTGGTTAAAAAAAAAAAACTAGATAAACTAAGTTACCTGCTGAAAGCGGATATCAAGGTCAAAGGTCAGAGGCTCCCTGGGATTGCAGACAGGTGGGATAGTGTACTCCAGACTGATTGGTGATGTGCAGGGAATCAGCTTGACTGTGTATGTACCAGAGTAGTCACGGACCTGAGAGGAGACGGTGTATTTATATACCATATATGGCTCTGCATGTTTTAAAATAAATAATAATGCTAAAATAACAGTAAATTATGATAGTGAGCAGAGTGAATTTGTTCTTCTCTCAGATATACTTACAGAAAAGTCCGACACAAAAGTCCACTGCTGGATGGGCTGGTTGTACGTCGGCTCAGTTCGCACAAGGCTTAGATTGAAGGTCAATCCAGGATGATCCGGACACATGACCATGGATGAAACTGGTGAAGCTGGTGGACAAGGAGGTGACTTAAGGAGTTAGGCACAAACAGCAAAATTTATAAACAACAACAACAACATCTGGTAATCTGAAGGAAGAAAAAATTACGCTCAACTCCTCTACCTGGATGTGCGAAAACAAAGAGCCCTCGGAATCGTGCCTCTGTTCGAAAGTTGACCACAAGTCTGCCCTGACCATTTATACGCATGCTGGTTGGATAAAGAGCGCCTGTAGAGACATTTCCGTTGACTTCGTTAGATGAACGTGAACAACGCAAATGTCAGGTTTTCATCGTTCGTTCAGCACTTGCCTTGTAGTTCAGCCTCTGGTGGGCTGCCAATACCATCCCTCCACAAGATGGCAGTGTCATACACGAACGTTAGCCTCAGCTCAGACTGTAGGTCAAAGTGCTGCCATCCTCCCGCTCCCACAGGGGAGTGGAAGACATAGGACACATGGAGTGGGACTCTCAGCGTGACATAGGACTGGACCAGATTAAGAACCTGTAGTAAAAAAACATCTAAATATCATATTTTGCAGTACTTTGCTTTTCATGTATTAACACAACATGCAGATTATTTGGAGATTAGTATTTCAGAGACAAAGATTTAAGGTTCTTTCATTTGCTTGAAAAGGCAAATATTGTGAAACATGGGACATAGTAAACGTTTGCCCATATACAGTACTCCAAGCTAACTTTTACTTGTTCAGAAGGTAACGTTAACTTCACCAAAAGTAAAGTTTTCCCTTAAANNTTACCTCACCTAAAGTTAAGTTTTACCTTAAACGCTGACCAATGTTTCCTAACTTTTCAGTTTGTTTGTTCAAATCCCACTCCTTACAGCCACATAAGTGGACTTCTCATCTCAGTGTCAGCTTTCTGTAGAGTCCAGTCAAAGTTTGAGTTATGTTTGGTGTAAAAAGTAAAGCAGCACAGAGTGGTGCCTCTCTGATACCTGCTCTTTCCTCTGACCTGTGAAAACGACCTGTCTGCACTGGTTCCAGTTCGTGTGCAGACGTGCCTGAACGGCTCCAAGACTCCGGCAAATGATTTGCAGAACGTTGCCTTTGACACGAGCCACTGGTTCCTTTCCTGTGACCCTGTTACAGACTAGTTACCGCCATAAAATGTCACCACGCCGCGCCTGACTGCCCACTGGGGGTCACTGTGATACCAGAGCACAGGGACTGAGATTCACTGCTCCTGTCTGGTAGAGTGGACGTACATCCAAATAGAACCTCTGGATGAGTTCAATAAAAAACCTGACTAATTGGACCACCGTGAAACCTGAAATATCAGGGACAACAAATACATTAAATACTAGAGTATTTTGACCAGACAAGAACACAACCATCCAGGGTCCAGCGGAGGTGCTAAAGCTGCAGTTGGTTTTTGTAGTGTGTCATGGATTTTTTCCTATTTATAGATTTTCTTTTTAACCAATAACAGCGTAAGAAACTCAGTACCTTATAAGGGCAATCTGGTCTCTATAGATTAGATTAAATATGTGTTTATCAAATGATGTTCATACTGAAATATTGTTTTTTTTTAGGTTTAATTTACTATTTTACTGATCTATTTGGCATTTGACTAGATAAAACATTTTGTAAAAAAAATCTATTCAAAGCTTTAGGGTTTTAAACTGCAAAAAGACTTTTATTTGGGTAATGGATAAATATTAAATTTATGTCTCAACTATAGTTATCACAATGACAGGACAAGCATTTTGCCCCCCCGGTGTTATAATTATTACCATAGCTAATGTGCTCGGTATCACTAATATTATTTCTTTTGAAGCTATGGCATAAACTTTAATCACCAGCAGCGACTCTTTGCATGTCTAAGCGTGTTTCATGCCGTCATGATCATCTTTGCTTCCAGCCATCTTTGCCGTTGTTATTTAACAAACCCCAAGCTATGTGAAATGAGAAACTGGACTCATATACATTCTTAAACACCTTTAGAGCCATTCTGCTGTGGAGAGTTAATTAATAATCCTCAGAAGGTTTCTACTGTGACGTTCCACTGCACTCTCCCAGCTCTACTTCATCAACGTGTCACCTTAATTAACTGCGAGGAAGCTAACGTGCGTTCGGTTACCTAGGTGAATGCTAATACTGACAGCTGTTTTTGAAACTGAAATCTCCTCACGAAGAATCGTATGCGGCAGTGAGAGCAACGTACACAAAGAAAAACTAACAAATAATATACAGGTTTAAATTAGGCTGCTGGCTCTGAGCAGGAACTGAACGAGCAATGCTGAGTTCACTGTTACTTCTGGGGTTAGTGTCTACGCAGATAATCGTTTCTCCCGAGGCTGATATTTACTTAAAGTCCTCAAAAACAACCAAAAGGGCAGGCTGTGTCCTCAGGCCGGCTGCAAATGATTGACTGGATTTAAAATACAGGTGGATTTTGGAATGAAAATGAGCAGGACTCCAGCGACTAAGTCTACATTCCTGTCCCGGAGCTGTTCTGCAGCTCTGTTGACCTAACACGGTGCACCTCATGTCTCAGGGTGACAAAGGGAGGGTCAGAGGTGAACTGCGGCTCAAAGGTGGGGTTGCTCACCTGTCCATCAGTGCCAATGGCGCCTCCGCAGTCGCTGAGCAGCTCAGACATGTCGTAGTAGCCGGTGAACTCCCACAGACATGCTTCCAAGTTGAGGTTTCTGTAGAACCTCAGCGTGCCGGTTCCCCTGAGGGCAGAACTGAACTGGTACGGTGCGGTCTCACCAATCACTTCAGGGTTTTTGGTGGCGTCGGTGAGGAAGCCGTAGCGAGTCTTCACCTCTGTGTAGTCCAGCAAGTTGGAACAGCGATGGTGTCCCACGCGGGTACCATCGGGGCTGAGAGTGAGTTCAAAGTTGGACAAGGCTCGAGTGGACACCACCGGCAGCATACCTGAGGAACAGACGGTACTGTACGTTTGATTACTGCTCACTCTGGTTTAACTGATTTAAGTTTAACTGATGAATAAAGTTTGTCAAGCTGAAGTGTTCAGGGGTCACCAAGGTAGCAGTTATTAGTCTTAAAACAGGGAAATTTGAAAAAAAAAAAAAAGTCAATCTATTAGCTAGGAAGGTCAATATTCTGGCTTATGTTGGAGAAAATATATAATAATATTTTTAAAAATAATATTTTATGATTTTTTAAATATGTTTGCTTTATTTTTAAATCCCTGGGACAACCTTTAATTATAGCTTTAGTCAAATATCCCTAGTTTTTACTGAGATCAGATGAAACCCATACCAAACCTATAACCATCAGTGGTGTCTCATTTATTTGACTCTTTGACCAATTATTCAGCTCTATTTCTGCCTCCTTTTTGCTTTAAATTGTTTCATTTAATAATTTGTCGACTATATTAATAATATTTACTATGTTTTATAGGGATGAGGCCAATGTGTGATTCTAAAACAATTAAAAAAACATTTTGACAAAAAACCCTCGAGTTAGCTTACAGCTAGTCACAGCTTTCCCCTAATGTATTTCTGGCCCCGTCTGTGATGTCTTTCAGCTAATTGTCACCAGAAACACAAAGTAATGCTGGCTAGGTTCCAAAAAACAACCTCTGTCAACAGGATGTTTTCCCAGATATAGGCACTGTCTGCTGGTCTCACCATCAATGTGGGGCATGGTGACAGTTAGTTTGATGAGGTTTGGATGGTCACTGTCTTCTCCTCCTGTGTAGCGCAGCTTGGCAGAGAAGGGCTCAGCTCCCACTGTGCCTGCCACACGAGGCTGGCACATTCCTGCAGAGACGCCAGGGAGAAAAGAAGGAATGATTTTGTTTCCCCAAAAAATTCTCTTCAGAAAATGCTTTAATCTTTCTGTCAAAAAAGGCCAGAGACCACTGTGGTGGGAGATGGCCAATGGCTGCTGAACCCTTTGAGTGAGACTATAAATATTTGAGGCTAGAAAGGGAGCTTGACTCACCCTCCTCCATGCTGATGGACACTATGTGGCTGAGAAGTTCCAGACCTTCATTACCATTGGAGTTCACTGCCCTGGCAGCACACTGGACCCTGGAGCCAGCCTGGAAGTAGACTGAGTCCAAAGTGATAATTTTGGAAGAGGTGAAGAAGGTGTCAAAGTCAACCTCCCTCATTGGGCTGGTGACCCTGTCAGGGCCAGTGGGGGCGCTGACGAGCCAGCGGTAACGAGTCAGAGTGTTGTTGATGTTTTCGCTAACACAGATGGAGCCTGTTTTATCATAGTCCGGATACTTGGGGTTACAAGCCTGGAGAAGACAAAGAGACAAAAAAACAAAAACAAAACTGCAACAGTGAATGAACTGTCCTGTAAACTCCACGGCAGCAGCCAAAGTTATTTCTGTTTGTTACTAATGAGATCGTGGTAATCATTATAATCATCATAATCATTTTTCAAGAATTATAGATTAATATTTACATATATTTTTTTACTATGCAAAATGGTTAGTTCAATTATCTCTTTTGTATTTTTAAAGGCGTTTTCTTGCTCGCTTGTTGTTTGTGATTCTTAACTATATATATATATACTGTATATATATATATATATATTAGTTTTTTTTTTTACTAATTCTAATTAATAATCTATTGTGGCCTTCAGTTTCTCCTTAGCTAGCATTTAGCTTTTTGACATGTCTGTGTTATGTCACTTACCATTACTCTTATTTTCACTAAAGTTTGCTTGTTTACACTAGAGTAAAAGTTCAGTTGAAAATCCACCGCAAACATGGGGAAAACATAGAAACTCCATACAGAAAGTCACTTAAAAAAATAAATAACACAACATGTCACTTGACATACAGTGACACAAATGACAGGATATCCAGCCACAGGGAGGGAGTCTCTGGTCCTGTGGATGTCATCATAATGCAGCAGAGAAACCACCCGAGGCACTGAGGGGAAGGTGACATCTGCCATGCTGTTCGTCTCCTCTATATAGATTATGGCTTTGCTCAGCTGTTGATTGACAAGACGACAGACGTGCATGAGAACGCTGATTAAACTGTTGCTGTCCCGCCATGCTGTGACACACAGCTGACACCTAAATTCATGCTAATCTGGCCTAATTTGTACCTTTGTTTCTGCCACCATGTTCTCATCAGGCTTCAGATGAACAGTGAAAGACTCCCTCATCTCTCTGACACCGTCGTATAGAATCTCCACCTCCACATAGTGCTGGGTGTCACCGTGTTTGAACACAATCTCTGCAGCGAAGGGAGAGATTTTTTAACAAACTTCAGACTCGTGCTCTGCCGATAATGTTTCCTGGCGTCGTCACCTACCTTCAGATATTGGATGGTAGTCCTCCCCTGAGGTGGCAGATCCATCCTTTGTATGAACCCGGACAACAGACACTCTAGACGTGTCTCCCACACGCAGCACCGAAATCTTCACCACAGACACCTGTCCACTTTCCTTTGGTTCATTCACGCTGAATTTGGTCTCTCCAAACCTGATTACTGACTCTGAGAGAGGACGGCAGACAGTTTGGCGATCATTTACAATTACACGTGTTACAATTACCATGTGTCGAACAAGAACTTTAGACATTAGACATCATACTGTCTGCGTCATCTTTTATCTTGATCAGCGTCTCATTCTGCTTCCCGATGGATGCTCCAAACGGAGATTCACTTTTGGGACTTCCCAACACCAGGCGGAGTTCTTCCTCCTCCTCATGCTCTGTGTCATCAACGAGTACCAGTACACACTCCTTCTCAATCTCCCCTAAAAAAGAAAAGAATAAAAGGAAACTATTTTAATACATTCACAGAACGACACCACTGACAACCCTGCATGTGCCCGGCTTTTTTTACACCACCTGGTAAGAAGGTGATGATGGAATCGTCTGTGTTGGGCCTCTCGTTGAAGTCCATCATGACCTGGGCCGTGCCCTGTCTGCTGTAGCAGCGGACGGTGGACCTGTAGCTGATGTCACCGCTGCGGTACACCATGGCTGAAATCTGACCTGAATTCTCATTGCCCACGTACACAGCATCACGGAACTGTACCTTCGGCACTACGACAACATAAAGAGCAGGAACATATCACTATGAAGAAGTGTTCAGTTTGTTTAATCAATGCACATTTGGAGATATTATTGACCATATTTGACTAACACGTAGCTGCTTCTTCGTGAGCCATTAAACTTCTTTTGGCTAACTTATAGCTACTGCAATACCTGTTTCTAAGTCATTTTAAAAGTTTTACAATGTTATTCTGTCAATATGTCATCTGAAGAGGCTAATTTCCTCTAATTACTGTTATTTGGACATGATTTTCTAGTTTCCAATTATAATTTAAGGAAAAAAAAAGAAATAAATCAAAAGAGACCATGGTTCATTTGAGTCGATTATGCATGAACACGACAGCTTAATTGGTTCATTTTTGATTTTTCTGTTTGGAAATAATTAAAAAACTTTTTTTACTGGCAATATGAACTTAGAAAAAAAAAGAGCTTCATCTTCCTGCAGACTAACAAAAAACAAGCGGATCACATCTGCTGTATGTTATTACTGTACATTCATTACTTCTATAAGTCGATGTTACAGTCCCACATTTAATTCACTCACAATCTGAGACGGAGTCGTTGATAAAGATGGTGGACTTGCTTGGTTCCCCAAGAATCCCGCTCATCGGCATTCGTAGAACCAGTTCAAATCTTTCCGGCCCCTCCAGCACAGGCTGGCCCAGGTCATCCAGGATGGTAACTCGTAGAGTCTGCATGGTGACTCCAGGTGCAAAGTCCAGATTCCGACTGATGCCGACATAATCTGCACCAGCTGCTCAACGAGAGAATCTAGGTCAGACAGGTTTCAAACAGCAGATCTGCTCAAAGCAGAGAGAGTGGACAAGTGGACATTTGATCATATTTTGACAGCAGTCCTCGGAGTCCTCAGTGATTCCTTTGAGACTCTCAGGAACCATGTACGCGCTACGTGCTGACAAAATGATACAGTATCTCATGGTTGATGTCCAAGGAAGGGTTGGAATTTGTTGCCTGATTAACAGAGTGCTACGGAAACCAGATTTCTCAGGTTATTGGTTTGTCAATCTTTGAAGAGACAGCGGTTTGAGGTTTCACACTTCTGCCGCAGGCTTTTCTTATGTACTTATGACCCAGTTACGTGTATAAAGAAATTCTGAATGTGCTGCACACGATCATATTACTTATGACCCAGTTACGTGTATAAAGGAAATTCTGAATGTGCTGCACACGCTAGTCATTTTTACAATTATGACATGGACAAGAGCAGAGATGTTATGATACTATACAAAGGGGAGAGGAGAGGAGTGCCTGAGGGGGGAATTAATGAAGGCTGCGGAGCAGGCGCAACTTAGCAACCAGACGTGGAGTTCAAGGCACTTACTGACACACAGAACAATCTCTGATGCATTCCTAAAGCCCAGACCACTATTATCTTCACTGGGTTTATCCAAGACACGGACAGAAAAGCCATTGATTTCCCTCCTGCTCACCTAGAACAATGTTTACATTCCCCTGCTCATCCGCCCTAAATATCCAGCGTTAACGTCTCCTTGCACTCCTGAGTGACAGGGCGACAACTTAAGGCTATTATTAAAGCTGAAAAAGCCGACCCAAAAGAGAAAGGTGTGTAAGCACGGACACATACCCTCGGCGGAGACAGGTTCTGTCTTTCTGGAACGCACGGTGACGGTTCCTGCTTTGGAAAGATCCGTCCCCGTCCTCCACACCTGCACCTCCACGTAGCTGTCGCTCTCATCCACATGATAGTCCGTGTTCCCAAAGTAGAAGACAGGAGCTGGGAAAGAAGAAGTAGAAGGGAGGAAATGATTTAAGTGGGGATATGTATTACATTATTTGTTAATATGTAATAATAATAATAATAATATTAATGTAATATTATCAGGATCATGACTTAATAGACTTAAAGCAAGTTTTTTGGACATTTTTTTAACAAAATGGTTCACCTTACTGAAACATTGATCATGAAAAATGTTTATAATAATGTACTAAACAAAAAAAAACCCTATAGTGCAGCAGAGCAGTTTTTTTAAATAAGAAAAAAGAACCCAAAAACTTAAATAATATATAAATATAGGCCACAATCACATAAAGAAAAAAGAACCCAAAAACTTAAATATAGGCCACAATCACATGCACAGTATACAAAGTCCAGAATTAAAACTGATTAAATAACACATCGAAACAAAAACCAAAAGGTTCTGTCAGTGATACAGAGCTTTATATAATAATATAATTCATCAAAAGATTAAATTTGGCCAGATCAGAATGAGAATAATCTCAAACTGCTGCCACCCCCAAAAATAAACGAAACTAAAGGTAAATACAGGTAAATGCTTCCGTGACATGAATTAAAAACAGGAGTTCCAGGCAACATAAAACCCAGTGAAGAGTCAGGATTGGCCCCCGGGCCTGACTTTGGACCCGTCTGGCTGCGATCTGTAACAACCTCTTCACTGATTCTCACAGGATACCTGGTGTAATTGCTGAGCTTAATCTGTAATAGCATACAGTATGAGATTAGCTGTGATTACAGGAGAAAATTGAGGGAATGTTTCCATCCAAACAGCAGCAGGTAGTAATTGTGGCCCTTAAACAACACTTTCTCACTTCCTGGAATTATGTTGGGAGGCGGGGAGGGAGGGGGGTTCTACACCTGCCAGTTACAGTAAAAGACAAAACGCAGCCTGCAGGCGGAGCTGCGTTTCCTGATCTTGTTGTGGATGAGTTTGGTGCTGGTGGTGCTGCTGACTGTGATAGTGATGGGACTGAGAGGTAGACAGGAGGCCTGACAGGAGGTCTGGAGGAGGTAGAGCTCGCTGTGCCAGCCCAGGCCTGCCTGACTGCAATTAGTGCTTCTATGAGCTTCCACTGCAAAGATTCCACTGCAGCCCGGCTCACCGAGCGTGTTTCTATTTAACCCTTTCTTGGCGTGTCATCTTGACAGACTGCATCATGCTGCTGGTGAAATGGTTGCTTCAGGGCTTCTGCCTACATATATCTTCACCACGGAGTCAGTTAGAGTCAAAAATCGAAAGGTAGAAATAACGAGAAGATTGAAAAGAAGAAAAACATGCTAGGTTAAATAATGAGTCCATAGTTTGTTCATAACGCTTCAGGGAAATAATTGTTAGAAATAAAGTGAACAAATCTGCAACTACAAACAGAAAAACTATGAAACTGAAAGAAATCCAGTTAAAGTGCAACTATTTTTCCTACTGAATATAAAGTATTAGTAATTCCTGACCATTGTTCTATTATTTCCCCTGGTCTTGATGGAGTTTCGAGTGTTTTTCTTTTCATTAATCATTGTAACTATTCTTATGAATATATGACACTAGCCTTACATTATTCATCCGATGACTAATTGGATTTTTTTTCCAGTCTGCAACTAAAGATTAATTTAAGCTTAGTTTTTAATTAACATTTATCTAATTGTACAAATTTTATTTACCAAATCTTCTTTGTCATTTTTTGTCATATTCTAATATTTTTCTTGAGCAATTCTTTCCCCCAATGTCCCTTACAGCAGAGCTATTTCTTATTTCATATTGTTGGTCTTTTACTCTTTAGCCAGTCTTTTTTTTTTTCATTTCAGACCTACCTACCATTTTTTTTAATATTTTGCCTCTACGGAACAATGTATTTTCTTCTGAATATAACAATATAATAAAAAGGGCAAGAAAGTTACGTTTTCCGCACAAATACTTACATTTCTCTTAATGGGTGAAATTCAATATTGTTTTTACACTTGAAATGGAAGCTGAGCTGAAAAATCTGCAACTGTGACCAAATTATGAATACATTACGTTAACTGCGACAGCCACGGGCAGAGTTGTGGTTTCCATGACAATGGATCTTTGCACCTTCTAAACAGCACTGAAATCTCTTCTCATCACAGCGAGAGGCAAGAAGCAAAGCATTGAACAAAAACAAACAGACTGTAGGCAAGATACAAAGGAACAGAGAAACGGGGAAAAAAAGAATCACAATGATACGGTTTTTCTCATTACAAACACTGAAACTGGCAACACATTTAGGTCAATCACAGCAGGACGGCAGCAGGAAAAACAGGAAGACAGAGGCCAAAACGCCTACCAGAGCAAACAATGATTTTCTCACTGATTCACAATTCACTTCCTAAAGAAAAAAACTAGCGCTGTGAATGAAAATGAACAGTGGAAGCAGAGGAAGTGTTGATCCCTGAAGGTGAGACCCTCCTAAAGACAGAAGACTGAGCTGGGAAGTGTTTGAATGTAATGTGAGTGACCAGGATGAAGGAGGAGGAACACATGTGCGTGTCACGGGGAAACAGCTGAGGTTTGGATATAAGAGAGAATTAATGTTTGGACCTGCTGAGGAGAACCAGTAAAAACCTGCCAAACAAGGATCAAGACTCAAGAAAACTTCATTATCTTTTACAAGGTGACTTGCTGCTTGGCTGATGGAGGAAGTAATTGCAGAAACAGTGTGACTGTTATTTTTGTGACTGTTATTTATATGTTAATATGTCCGCTCTGACTTTAAAACCCTGACGCGTCCTTAACAGAAACATACAGCGCTGTAGATACGGTCTGGTGTTGTGTTAAGGATAAGGATAGGTGGGAAATCTACAAGTACCAGTGCCATGCTCCATTCAGTGTCTCTGTGTCTCTGTACTGCTAGTTTCACAGTGCAGGTCTATGGATGATGACGAGGATATAACTGGTATTAGTGTGTTATTATATTGGAGCCTGGGAGGAGGTCTTACACGGCATCATCTATCCTCCTAAACCACTGTGAGCCATGTTACTTATTTGGTTATAGTGATAGACTTAAAACCATTAGACAGTCACAGGCAGAAGAATTAAATATTCTTCCACTAGGTGCCAGGAGATCGCTTTAAAAAGAAAGAGGAAAAAGAGACTAATGGGACGTTCACACCAATCAATGTAAATGGCACAACAACACGCAATTTAATATCAGACCGAGCAATCGCTTCTGACATGATGTAAAGTGAATGAACCACATGAGCGTCTGAGGCAACACGAGTGAAGTTGCAATAACCAATCAGCGTCTAGTTTATCTTGACGTCATCTTTTTAATTTGCCAGCCTTAGGTGCCGTTGTCAATATGTGTCAGACAGACGGACAGTCTTAGACAGCAATTTACAAACCAAACATCCAAGGTCCATGATTTCGCTGCTAACACAGACTCTGATTTTTGCCCATGTGTAGCTGCAGTGAGCTGTGTGTTCACGCACTGCTGAGCAGGGACGCCCTGACACCGATGCTTTTTTTAATTACTTGTGCTCGCACCGGAAAACATGAGCCTGCTGTGCAGCGTTCAGCCATTGTTATGTGTTTTCCCTCTTTAGTCCAGTGTCTAATGGCCCTCATGGGTGGGTTGCTGAAGTAGATCAACAACGTCAGCGGTTTGGATGTTTTTTTCAACAACAGGGACAGAATCACGCCTTACTGTAACAGAACAGAATTGTTCTGTTGATATGAGCAAATTAACAAAACACTTGAAGCCACACCATAGCACTGACTCCACTAATGTCTTAGCACTGAATACATCAATGTCTTGGTGCTGAATATGCTAATATCTTAACTGCACTGATGAGGCATCAACACCTCACCAGGTCACTTTATTGATTGTTTTCTTGACAAGATTGTGTCATATTTTTAATTAAAACAAAATAATTGTAATTAGTTTTATGTTTCTCAACCCTTGGTTCGCGACCCCACATGGTTTGCCAGGAAATCAATTGGGGTCGAATGAAATGTCTAGTACTTTAAAAATATTATTGTCTACCATACCATCTGTGTGAAAGATCATCAACACTGTCATATAAAAGAAGAACCAGAATCCAAACCTGGACCCAGTGATCTGTCAAACTACAGTTTATATTTGCTTAGATATATTTCTGTTACCGATGAAGACGCACATCTGGATAAAGTCAGCTTTTTACTAACAACCTAATATCTGCAAAAATAAAATAAAGATCCAGGAAGAAAAAAAACTTTCTTGGCAAAACCCTGAGATCTGTGGCTCTCGGAGCAGCCGTCAGATGTGCTTGATATATTGTTACTATGAAGCTGGTGGAAAGGGACAGAAGAAAAGTTTTATACTTTAATCTGGTCTGAGAACAGACAGCCGGGACAATGAGTGTTGCATCAAGACTCTCACGGCTGCCAAAACCTTTCTCCGTGGAAAAACCAAACAAAGATGGTTTTGGCTGCCTGCACTGGGTCCCAGTAGAAGGAGTAATCAGATCTGCTAGCCTCAGGTTGGCAGCCAGGAACTCGGGCCCTGCACTTCGAGTCCGGTAATCAGATAAGGTCTGTTCTGAGACAACTGTGAACATCAAAGAGCCTCGGCCCATTAAGTGAAAGGTAAACTACCGGCTGTGACAGCCCTGCCACAGCAGCCTCCACGTCCACAAAGAACATCTAAAGTTACATGAACGCATGAAGAGAGGAGCTAGAATTTAAGCTCTTTGTTATCCTTTAAGTTTTAAAGGCAGACAATCCTGTGTCATTAATATTTATTTATTCCTAAAGTGTTTTAAGTTTTTTTTTAGTGTTGTGCGTGACTTTTAATGCAGATTCACCCAATGTATTTTGAAGGATCTGATAACGTTTAGGTATATTGATTATCTTAAATTAAGTTAAATACATGGTATACCAGGGTTGCTAATGTTCAATACTTTTTGGTTTCAATATTTTATCTAATTAATTAAAATTAATTTAAGTTAATTTAGTTTTACTTTGAGCTCTTACTGCAAGTTGACAATTATTTCTTCAATTTATTTATTTTATTTTCTCAATAATATGCCTGGTAACATTCAATTAATTTAATGATTAGATTTAATTATTACATTTAATGTAATTACTCATGATAATATAAATAAAACTATTACATTTAATGTAATTACTCATGATCATAAGTATTTTCATATATTTTTACATTCTAATATACAACTCCCACTGCTGTTTATATGAGCTGGTAATAAAACAATACACTATTCTGCTGGGAAGAATCAATGTAGTGATTCAGTGACCTTGCATCTTTTACATTTATTGTGCTTGATATATTATTGTCCTTAAAACATTAAAAAAACATCTGCTTTTCACTAGTTGAAACTACATTCATAAAGAAATGCTCCTGTTTTCCTCTAGGGAAATAAAAACACAACGCATAAATCAAAAGTGAAAACCCTTATATGATTATGAGTGTACACCTATTGTCATTCATGGCATTGTGTAACAGACAATATAATAATTTTTGCTGTTGCATTAAATGAAAGACAAGACACAAGCAGAGACACAGAAATCCCTCGGGGCTCAGTTACACTTCCACTGACTGCTTAATTTCACTTGAACTTTGCGTGGCATTCCCACCGAGCTGAGTGGCTTCTGCAATCGTGAGATTGAGTTGATCCCTGTAGCAGATGCTCTTTTGCCTTCTGTGTGCGCCACCATTTGTTTTTCATCATAGCAATACTTCACAAAAACAAATATGCAGCTACATATTTAGTTAATAATAAAGATTTGATTTCACAGTAGTTTTTGGAGGGAGTTTCTGGATTCAAGTCAACACCTTTGCCGTGGACATCTGTTTATATCAGAATGAGTGGAAATCCGGGTGAAACATAATGACAGGGTTGGTGGTTGCCCCTCGATTCATCCCCGTCCAGGAAACACTGTGCACGCACAGGACCTGCCCACCTTTAAAACACGTCCTAATCACAGCCTTAGAACCGAAACAAAATTTACAGGTAACTGACACAGCGCTGCAGTAAAGGCACCAGTCAAGTCCTGCTGGACAAGAATCCTCATGTCTCACATCACCAGCCACCTAAAATATTTTCCCGGATGCAGAGTTCAATATCAAACAGCAATTACCTCTGCAAGAAAGAACACGTTTCTGCAGAGGCGCAGCTGAGAGGATGGAGATGTTTATGTGCAGATGTTGTGTCGATGGGAAAACAGTAGGTGTTTGAGAGGAGCAGCTGTCGCTGCACAGCTCTGTAAAATACCTGGGGAACTCGTGGGGAATTTAAAGGTTCCCCACATGCCACGAAAAGACTTTAAATTTAAAGTGTTTTTTAAAAAAATGTTTTTCTTGAATTTTTTTATACAGATTAGCATAGTCAGATTAAGTTAAGTCAGTTAAATGATTCATAACCACAGATTTGTGTTTCAACAGACAGAAAAGTTTGAAAACTTTAACCCGAAGAGGTTAAATAAATAATAAAATAAATACATAAAAACATAAATAAATAAGTCTTTAATGAGGGTCACTGAGTTTTCAAGTTCATTTTTCAGAATATTTACAATATAACATTAACGCTGGCCTTTTGCAGAGAGATCTTAACCAGTGTGCTAACTGTAAAATGTTTAAGTCTATTTTACTATCAATTCTTCATCCCATGAACAACATCCACACATCATCATCTTCATCAATAGGGATCAATATGCAAGGCTGCCATTCACAGAGGAGCACAAGGTTAAAGGGAAATGTGCAAATTATTTGCCCAAAATTTAATACCTAGTTGCTGTATTGAAAAGGAATAAATCTAACACCATTTTTTTCCACACAGGAGATTGCTTTTGCTCTGTTTGTCTCAAAGCTATTTACCATTTATTTCAGCTCCATTGAAGTCTTTTCATTATCGCCTCCTTGAGGGGAACAAGAAGGTCTGACACCAGCCCATTTTTCCTCACTCTTCATGTTCCTTTAATTAAGCGGAAGCTGGCAAGCGAAACACCTCAATCACCCAATCCAAATTATATTTTAGAGGTGGCTGTGCATATAAGAGGCACATATCTGAACAGACATCAATCTGATGGTTGTCTCTCTTCACAATAAGGAGCCGAGGTGACACGCGGTGGCGCGTCGGCAGGGCCTCGCTCCATGACTCACCTGAAGTCCTTATAGAAACAATTCTGATTTGAGAAAAACAATGGAAAACACAGTGCACGGATGTTTCCACAACACTGAGCCCATGAGTTTGCAGCCTTCTGAAAAACTGATAGGAATTATGAGATGCTGACTGACAGCCAGCCACCCTCAGATGGAGGCTGAGAAACCCTGATAACAGATAGAGAGTGCAGGCTGCTAACACTGCTTGTCAGTCTGAGTCATTTTAATTTAGAGATGCACTGAGCCTTATTTTCTCTTATTACTGCACGATGATTCACCTCTGATTCATTATATAAAGCCATAGCAGGAAGCCAAAAATATCTGGAGACGCTTTTATACACCCTTACATACTTCAAACAACAAAATGGAATAATTATTCAAGTTCATGTCTCAGATCAAAGATTGTTGCTAAACTTAACTATTTTCAACATTCTATATATTTTTTTCTGTGATTTGCTATTTCAAAATTGCTTATATCTGAAAATTGAAAAACCTAATTAAATGTAAAAAACATAAAAACGTAAAAAAAAAAGCACCCTTCACAATGATACAGCGGAGAGTCTAAGATTACAATGGCTGCAGATTCAATGCACATATGGTACAAATGATTTCCCACCAGAAAAACTTTTTTTTTGATGAAGCTAAAAAAAAATCCACTTGAAATTTTTCAGCCAGAAAAATATGCCATCCAAGACCTTGCTTAAAATCTGCTTCAAAGACAGCTGGTCTCAACCTTCAGCAACACTATGAGTTTGAAGAGCATTGCTGCTGTTCTATAGATAAATGTTTCAAATTTCATAAAGGGTTTACAGTAAATAAAGTAAGAGTTAACCAAAGGCACAGCTCTGGTTACAGAGTTACCAAACAGCTGAGAAAATGTACTTCTCAGCTGGGAAAAAATTGTAAAAAATTGTGAAAACTAAGTTCACCAAAGAAAATGTACTTCTCACCTGGGAAAAGGTGTCAAATGATAAAAAGATAAACAATTGTGAAAACTAAGTTCACCCAAATCCTTCAAATATGTAGCAGCATTAGCCAAAAGCAGTCACTTAAAAATAATCAAGGACTCAAAAAAAATCAGTCCAAGAATAGTTAATACCTAACCAAAATTCAGACAAAGCAACGATAAGTTAAGCATGAATAGAAAAATATGATAATATGACAAGTTTAATTTTAAAAAATGCAGTAACAAAAGCCAAATTTTAGCTAAATGTTCATCTGAATCAAACATGATCATAAAGGTTTCCGAAACACGGGAGATAATCTTCAAACAAAACAGATTTTCTATCTAAAAAATGTAAGTAAAGTCATTAAAATAGTTGTGGTTTTCTATTCATAAACAAACAACAGGTGTGGAGCTGAACTGAGCCATTCGCTTATCGAGCTCCATGTTTATTTGGATTTAGGACAAAAAAAGATTCCACTGCCACTATCAGGTTTTTAAGACCCAGTGGTGCCTTGCTTGCGATCACACGGCCTTGACTTCACAGCGGTACTTCCGGAGATGGTGGGAGTGATAGGTAATTGAGGAACGGCTGTCAGGTGTTGGGGAACAAAGAAGAATCAGGAAGATGCGGGAGACGTTCAGTCTCAGCCTGCAGATACGCGATAAAGGCTTCGCCTGCAGCGAGGAGGCTCCGCACACTCTAACGCTAACCTCTCACAGACTTTAAGAGGCATGAACACACACACGTACAGAAATACACACTGGTGAAAAATCGAACACACATTTCTGATGCACACCAGCATAGTTTCTGTGTGTCTATCCACCTGTCTGTACCTGTTCTGTCTGCCTGCCTGAATTTATACTGTCTTCACAAGCAGTGAGGCCTATTTTCGGATACTGTCAAAGAACTTCTTCATTTCAGAGCAGAATAAGACTGTAGAAGAATTGCAACACCTCAAACTATAATAAAAAACCATTAGCCAGGCATCGGAGCAACAACTTTTCCTCAGGGTTTAATTAAACTGAGATTTTAATGAATGGAAAACGAACTGTCTGCACAGGCCACACAGGCCAACGTGTCTTTTCATATTTGTAAAATAAAGTGAATAAATATATAATATAATAATATAATAATATATATATTATTATTATATATATAATAAATACCTTGTTGCTAAAGAATTTAAACACAGGGTCAAACAAATACATAGAAAAAATCAAAACAATTGAATTGAGTTCATTGTTTTGTAATTAAATTAGGCCTCTTTAATTCAGAACTTTAACACCACATAGAATTAGGTGAAAAACTGCAGCATTTTTCACTGAAACTAGTTTCTACAAACACCGTACTGATATTCTGAATGGTATCAAATGCTTGAATAAAAAATAGAATATTTGTAAAATGTTGTAACGCATTATTAGAACTGTAAAATTGACCGACAAGTCAAGAAAAAGCTCAAATGTCACAGTGACGTTCAGTAAAATGTGCTCTTACCGTCATCGATGTCTGTGAGGATATTCACTTTAGCTGTGGGAAACTCTGAGCCCAGACGTCCGCCCATCGCCATACTGAGGGTGACGTTAAAGCTTTCCTCCTCCTCATACAGGGAGTCATCGATGATGACAACCCGACAGGATTTCTCCTCCTCTCCTCTGTCAAAGCGCAGGATGCTGTGATGGTCCTCAGGCCTAGAGATGTAGTCGGAGTAGGACAGCACTGTGGTGGGAACGGTGCCTGTGGCTGAAACTGAAGCAGAAGCCGGAGGAGAAGGAGTTACAACATTTAAATCAAAAAACAGTAGAAGCTTGAAAATAAATCATCTGTTTCTGAGCCATTAGTCAATCAGTTATATATATCTCTGTGGCAAAAATCTAGAGTTATCGTCTCACGCTAATATTTTAAAGAACTATTATGTTATATTTCTATCTTTTATCTTACTTGGTGGGGCACTAAGTTGAAAAGATATTAAGTAATTTAAACTATTTTGAACTTAGAGTCATCACTAACATATATAAATTTAAATTGCATTTATTAAATATATATTGGTCCCTCTCCTCTCTACCTCTTGATCTTGAATTTTTGAAGCAACTCTCAACACTTCTATTTTCCAAAGTAGACCGTGTTTTGTCATATTTAGGAATGTTGATTTATCTTGATTAATCATGATAAGTCGTGATTAATCCACAGCTACTGTGTGTTTAATTGATTAAATGAGCATCTCATTTTCCGGCCAGGGCCATGCAATGACAGTGGAGCTGTGCTTTGTTTGAAGGGAGCAGACAAAAAGAGACGTAAAAAGCTTTTGGTTGTTTTTGAAAAAGTTTTTCAGGAGCTGACTCTGAGGAATTGAACCTTCAAATTCACCAGAGACACACATGTTGTTTCTCCACCTTCCCTGGTCAGTTGTGTAACTGGTGTTTTCAACAATCTGCCAAAATGAAACATCTCTGTTTTTTTATTTTTTAACCATTTACAGGGTTATTATGTGGGCCACTGCCACCGCGTACGTTATTTTTTATGACTGCATCAACTGTAGAGTGATATCTCAGCTCGTCAATGAACTCGCAAGCATCGAGTTGAAGATGAAATTCAGACAAGTGTCTGGTTTCTATATTGTCGACGACACTGTGATAAATTGTCTCCCCTTCATTTCTCAAGTTCAAAAAGTCAATTCTCTTGGAAAGATACACTTTACAAAGCTCTACTTCATTTTTCTTATATATAAAATATTTATTACATTTACCATATGCTCTTGTAAAACACAAATGAGAAAAATGACGTGATAGGCGCTGTGTCCAGGTAAAGACAAACACAGCAGCACAATGAACTCACACACGTCACCAGATTCTCTCAAGACTCAGACAATTCCTGTTTGGGAGACAGAGCTCAGTCAAGTATCGCATTCTCAGAGCTGCTTTCTGTGTTACCTTGCTGTGTGAAGCAGATGACCATGAGCTCCTGACTGACATCTCCACTCCTACGCACTGGGATCAGCAGCTCACCAATATCCTCCTCAATGTGGTATACGGAGGAGGGTATGAACACAGTGGACTCTGAGGAAAAGAAGGAAAAAAAAACCGTGATCAATGCCCATCCGATGGCACATGATGATACGGTGCCTCAGCTTAAATTCACTTCCTTTACACTGATTTTATCATCAACCATAACACATTAACCTTCCATGGCAGACAAGTCTCATGCTGCCAGACATTGGAAGAAAAAAACCAACAAACATGCATCTGCCTGTGGCAGGGGTCTTCAACCCCGGGCCCGTGGGTTATTTGGTAGCGAGGCCACGCCAGGACTATGTAAATGAATAAATAATTTATTTCTAGAGTCCAATCAATTCAATTTCATTTCTTAATTTAAAAATAATTATTAATTCATGTATTACAGATGCTGGTACTAACAGAACAAAGTCTAAAGACATTTTTTTATTTAAATACCGACATTTAATAATCCTAAAAAAGGTTGTCAACCACTGGGTAAAGGAAAAAGGGTTCTATACAATGGGAGTCTGTAAGAAATAAACATTAAAAAGTCTAAAAGAAACACCCTCGGTCTTTTGTAATGAGTTACTGGAAGTGTGTAGTGGTGTTCGAAATATCCTGCCCCCTGCCTGTATTTTCCTACCTCCCATTGATGGATGAAAATGTTTGTGTGATAAGTGGCAGTCATAAAACTCCCATGATGCCGGCTGCTGCCAAAAACAATAAATTACGTATGTGTGGGCGGAGCTGGGGGGGGGGGGGTGCACATTTAAACAAGGATGTTATTGTAGTAAGTGTCGACAGTGTCAATAAACTGAACTGGTCTGATAAATCTGCTGCCCAGTACAAAGAAGCCAAAGCTGTACTTAAGTGCAGTAAAAAGGCTCTTTTGTGAAGAGAGAGAGACCCCCCATCAGGAACTTTATGACTGTGAACCTGCCATCTTCTGTGGAGTGGTCTGTTCCTGCAGAAGCATCTCCTCAGAGGACAAGAAAAAGTTGATCAGACTGATTGCAGTGAGAGTGGTGAACAATGGCCAAGATATTTTTTTCTGATGGACAATCTGTCCTAACACCCTGCAGGACGCCATCACGGCACCGAGAGCCTCGTCTTCTACTGACAGACTTACACAGCTGAGAGTCTGAAGCACTGGTTATCCCGGTCTAGTCTTCCTGCACACAGTCCTCATCACATACTTCACTGTTTTCACCAGTGGATGTTGATGCAATATCAAGTCCTTGATATAAGAACTGGTATTGATTTAAAACCAAACCAGTGGATGTTGATGCAATATCAAGTATTTGATATAAGAACTGGTATTACGACTTGATTTAAAAGGGGCAAAAAAATCCTGATTTTAACATCTGGAGAAAAAAAATACGCCCACACAGGGAGAATATGGAAACCAGTGATCTAACTGCTGTAAAGGCAAACGTCCGACCAACATTAATAATAAAAATAATAATAATGTGACCAAAACATTGGCCAATCTTTTGGCTTAATCGGCCAAGTAAAAAGTACTTCCAATGAATGTAAGCGAATAATGTTTTGTACTTTGAAGAGTCATCCTAAAGGCAGTCATCTCTTTTTTAAAGTTTGTAATGGCTGATGCACAGAAGAAAATAAACCTGGGAGGAAAAAAACAACAACCTGTGACAGATTTTCAATTAAATCCATTGACACTGAGAAGAATCCTAAAATTTGACTCTAACTCGAGACAAATGACCTTCATCTGAAAACTACACGAGGAATTCACAAAACAGCTGGGAGAACTCCTCTAAGAGCCGACGCCAGAGAAAATGGTGCGTCTCTGAAAAATGATTTAGTTGTTGATCCACTCTGGCTCATGATTTTAAATAATGATATTCATCCAAATTGGGATTATTATTTAGAATTAATTAGTAGAAGATGCAAACAGCATCCAAAAAGGAAGATTTTCCCTGAATTTGACCAGGCTGGAAAGAAACAATTTTAATCAGAGCTTTGATTTGAAGCCTCAGATTTCCTCTCGTCAAACAGGTGATCATATATCAGCGGATCAGAGTTGGCTTCTGCAGTATGCTCCACGAAAACAAGGCTGATTATTGACTGAGTCGGTGCTAAAACTGTCTGTGAGATGCGGCTGCACAGGAAAAACAGTCAGTAATCCTTTACAGAGCGAGACATAATGCAAGCCATTTTGAGTCTCACAAACTAGGTGTAATTTTAGAAAGTACGTTCGCAAGCAGGGGCACGTTCAACCATTTTTTTTTTCTTTCAATGTGAGTCAAACTCACTGGCAACTTTCCCTCTCTTTGTTTCCCCCTCTCTCTGTCTGAGCTGTGCACAACACCCAGGAGGAGAATGTTCCAGCAGCACTGTGGCCATGAAATCCCACAGAGGCTTTGTATCCCACCTCTCACTCCGCATCATGGTCATGCACATTAAAGAGAATCCACTAGTGAGTCTAAAGAATATGATGTGTCCGGCTTCATCCCAAGGACCAGGCAGACGATGAAAACACCGACGAGGCCACGCCTCACTTTTTTGCCTTTCCTTTTTTGCTGTTTCTTGTTTTCAGTCACTTTGTCTGCCTGAAATAATTTATTCTCCACTGCTTCATGGTGGCAGCCCTTGGGCAAATCCATTTTCTGCACTCAATGAAAAAGTTAAGAGAGTTTTTTTGACCTTGAGCGGCCAAATAGGATAAAAGCCATAAACAGTATAATGATGTGGCACCTGCACGAAGCAAAAAAAAAAAAAAAGCTGCTCTGCATGTTGCTGACACAGAAAGGTGAAGCTGCCAGATTCTCTCATTAGCCACTTTGAGTCTGATTTTTTTTTGTGAAAATAACTGAAGATGATAATTGGCATACATTGTTGACACAGTTTCCTGATGGAGACAACCCTTCACGGTCTTTATTTATATTGTACGATGCAACTTCCCATCACAGCTCCAGCACTGAGCTCTTTGCTACTGCAGTTCTCCCCAATTTACACAATGATCATTCCACATGCCACGGAGGTCAGTGTAGTCTTTTCTATATACATTCGACTTTGTTCATCTGTTCCTCAGGGGAACAAGTGATGCTGAATAAAAGCACAGCTGTTATTTTTCCATTAGTGAACAATCCTTTTCTACAAGTTCAGCTAAAACTAAAACCCGCTCTGTGTAGTAATAATGATAAAAAAAGTGTGGTCTCATCTGAGAGTCAGTCCCCTCATCAACCCTTCAAACACTATGAAGTTAATATGGATTCCAAGGCCGTTTCAATATTTTATGTGAGAATTTAATAAAACCTGCCGTAGCTTTTCTTTCACTTTTGGGAACCAAGGTCCTTCAAAAACCAGGCAGTACCAATATTTAATTTGGTCAAAATAACAGAAATTATTAATTAAATTAAACTTGACTGTGTTTTTCTTACATCTTTCATTGGACTGCTTTAATTCCTCACTATTGTAAAGTTGAAATACATCTGTCCAAGGGCTGAAGGAAAAGAAAGCTCTTCATTTTACATTTGAATTCTGTCCTTGTGTCTTAATTATTTATGTCTGGAGTCAAAGAAATTGCAAATAAAAGTTTGCAACCTCATAAACGCCCATCTGTCCAACTCTAGTGCTGTTGTTCTAACAATGTTCCAGAATGTTCTGGACTGTGAATAAAAGCAAATCTTAAAGCTTATTCTGATAATACATCAGTGATTTCTGCATGTCAAGGTTTCTAAGGAAAAAGAATTGATGATCACTACTCACCGTCACCAGGGTCCAGGATCTCCACAGTAGCAGTTTCCGGAAATTCCAGTGCTGCCATTACAGGCTCGGACAAAACAATCTGAAAGGTCTCGGACACTTCGTACTCGTTGTCCGACAGGATCCTAACCTTCCAGGTGGCTGTGGTCTGACCCGGGTTGAACTGAACCTGCTTTTGAGCTTTGCCCCGGAAATCTTTGTCCTTTTCTGCACTGCCATCCTTGGTAGCAATACCTTAGAAAAATGAGCAACAAAAGTTATTAAAACATTTTTTTTTACATTTACATTTAACAAAAATACTGTACAAAAGTTCAAGGACTTAAGAACATAAAGGCCTAGGATGGAAAATTAAGCTTTCAAGGACTTAAGAACATAAAGGCCTAAGATGGAAAATTAAGCTGTATCCAATAGGGTCCATTTCCAAACAAAAAGAACAGATAGAATAACATTTTTAGGATTGACACCAAATCTTTTAAGTTGTCTTTTGGCCAAAAAAGATTTTTTTAAAATATTATTAAAAAAAAGCTCAATAAAAATGAACATGAGCAGTAGAGTTTAACAAAGTCATGTTTGAAAAAAATAATTTCGATTGAACTGGTTTGATGATTTTCAGGGCACTTGAGGTAAAAAATGTAAAAAGTACAAACTTTCAGTACAAACAATTTAGTTCAGTTCATGGAGTTTGTTAAACTCCTTTCAGAACAGAAAAGTGTTTCATTGTCATTGAGATGAAAACAACACCTGCACCCTTATATGGAATTATTTGTGTCTGTCAGCCATGGTGGGAATAACGGCAATTATCCTTTATGTCAGCCTGGTTTCAGCAGACGTCCTGACCTTCAGTGTGTGAGCTGTGTGCTGGGGTTTACAATCATTAAATTGCAGAGGCTCTTGCAGGATTCCTGTTGAGAAGCCACACCATCCCGGAGCCAGGAAAATGTCACAAACACTATTCACTGTTTCTGCTAACTGTAGTCACACAACACACAGTGGGGGAGTGGGGGGGGGGGGGGGGGGGCAGGGACTTTGACAAGTAGATGTCCAGCAGTGAATATAAAGATGATGGCACCATGCAGTTCATCAGAATTATGTGATAAAAAATATACACAGTAAGTGAAAAAGAAACTTTTTAAAATGCTGTTTTATGGTAATGTCTGAAGGAGGAAGAACAAAAGGAGAGACGGTAAAACATCCTCAGTAAAGAATAAAGACTGAGAAATGCACAAGATTAAGTTTTGAAGTGATTCTCCATTCCTTTTTTTTTAACTAAAATTAAGCTTTGATATGCGAGTACAAACAGAAGAAAAAAGCCTCCTGCACATTTGCAGTTGGCAGAGTTTAAGCGGTCAGGTCCAGCAGCGCCTGAAAAATCTGTAGTCTTCAAAGGGGGGTTGTTAGACGGGGGAATTTTCTCCCGACTCCATGTTCCCCACAAAGCTGGGATTGGACGGCACTGATCACAAGAGTCACTCAGAGGCAACATAGCAGGTGTACTCTCTGTAGCCACGAACCGTTGCCATCTGCACTGACCAGTGAAGCAACAGCCTGTGGGCTCCACTGATCAGTGATCGCACAGAGGGAGCTGCGGAGGAAGACGGAGAAGAAGGAGAAGAAGGAGAAGAAGGAGAAGAAGGAGAAGAGCCTCTTTTCCCAAAAGAAGGCGCTGATCTGAGATCAGTCATGATTGCTGGGGAGCACCAGGGCAGATGGGTGGCTCCTATAGTCTGACAGCTCTGGTGGCCAATTTATGCTGGTTAATCATAATGTCTCTTGTTCTCCAGGCTCCAGCTCAGCAGAGATAGAAACTTTAAATGATTTATGTGAGACATGAGTGGTGGTCCATAACACAGCTGGATAAAATGTTTCTGTCCAAAACTCTATCTCATACACCACCCTGATATGTAGCATAAAGTGTCATTCAGTAGGAATTCAGAGTAGGAAATAGCCAGCCTAAAGGAACAGTCTAGATCTAGTGGTTTTTCTCCTAGATCTAGTGGTTTTTGCGTTGTAATTTATAAATTCCTTTTGTACAGTCTTTGCCTCGGCCTACGGTCAATTATCCAGCCAAGCTAATTCCTTAATGACTATGTTTTTAGGTTATGGCATAAAACTAGAAGACCCTGTGAAAACCCACACTTACGTTTATATAAAACAAATAAATACATAATTAAAAATAATAGACTGTTAATGAATACACTGTAAAACAACAAGGTACGTTTATACAACACTATATATATAGTCATGTCTGTTCTACTTTAATGATTATAACATTTAAAGTTACAAATATATCTCAGCTTAATCAAAGATATTCCAAGGTATTAAATGTTTCAGGAGTCCAGAGTTAAAGTGACGTAGGATTAAAGAGTTCAGTTCAAAGACATCAACAGCACCAGACGAGTTAGCAGCATAATTCAACAAAGGAAGATCAAAGATAAGAAAATATCTGCTCTTAGTCTTGAATTGAAATATAGAAAAGTCTCCAAAGTCTTTAAAATTAGACTGAGTTGCAAACCAAGACACTTCTCAACCTAGACTGATGTTTGCCTGGAGAAGCCAGATAAAGATGACTCAGTCGGCCAGGTCAGAGGAAAGTAGAACTCTTTGGAGATGTTTCCTTTATACTGACAAGAAAGATGGATGCTTAGATACTCCATGGAGGAAATACTGTATATAAGAACATCGTCCTCAGGGTAAAAAACACAGAAGTATGAGTAATACGGTTTGAACCAAAAGAAATCCTCAAACAACTTCAAAGATGTTTGTTTTGACTTCAAGTACACTGGGGATGGAGTAAGGGAAGGTCAGAGTGAAGGTAGTGAACTAATCAGCTCATAATGAAGTGGAAAATATTTTGGGTTTTTCTCCAAATTTGAAGATGTCTGGTCCATCAAATTTAATTCAGTCTGTTATTTAGCAAAAAACTTACATTTGATCATAAGATCGAGGGTGTGTTTTTTTTAAGAGATTTGTGAAATAACTTTGTTTCTGTAGGCACTTATGAAAGAGAACAATTCTAAATGAAATGTGTTGTTCTGTACAAATCTGAATGGTAAATATATTTTCAAAAAGACATTTAGTGGGATAATAATATTTAGCCTATCTTTAAATTATTTTTATTATTAATTATTAAATGATGTTATATATAAATTTACTATCATTAAATGATTAAAGAAATAAAGCAGCAATGACACGTGTATGTGTTTATTTGTTTTGCTTCAGTGCAATATATCATACTAGAGGAAATCGTTCCGGCACATGAGACTAATTCAACTCAAAGTCTTCTCAAACTGTTTGATTCTTCTCTGTTATCCCCACTAAAAACACTCTTGGTCAGAGGATGTCGTTTCAGGTCCTCTTTTGTCCACTGAAACTGAACTGAACTGCCGGGGGGGGGAAACATGTTGATGGACAAGTCTTCACAGTCCACAGACCCAACTTTGTACGCCACCCTGTGATATATTTAAGGACAATTCAAACTTTGACCCAAACGCCATTGAGGGCCACACAGGTCATGACCTTCCACCTCTCTCTCTGGCCGGCTATTTACATTCCAATAACACAAAAGCCATGGACCATCCCTCGGGGACTACACAGACCCAACAGAAAGGTCGCCTGAAGTTGGCAGCCCTCTAAAGACACCACTCCAAACGGTCCTAAAATGGTCCAAATGACCAAGTGGGCAAACCTGTTTATACTGTTCATCAATATCTAAGCATCTAAGTTAGAAGAAGTTTTACCACTGGCACAAATTGCCTTTTCAGTTGTATTTTGTAGGTCGTCTGGTAAGTACATGTTTCAGCTAATTTTTTAGAAAGAACACAAACTGATATTCTTTATATACCTTTGCATGTGTTCCTTTTTGAATTTTTTTCCCCTAACCTTGCAGCCTTCCACTCCCACCGTGTATCTTTTCAGAAAAAAATATATTGAACTTTAACTTGGCATAAATATGTATTCTACAGCTGGCAAGTTGAGCTGAAAGTAGACAAATATTGAATATTTCTGCAAACAACAAAGCATTAATTTAACTGTGTTTTTTAGGTTTCTGTTGAGGTAAAAGGGAAAAGGATCTCAGTAAATAGTAAAAACAAACAGTATGTTTTTCAAATAATTATCGCTGGTTTTCCTGTAGTCTCTCGACTGCATTATAAATTAAAGCAGTGTGTGTTTGAACTCACACCCACACCATCAGTGCCTGAAGAAAACACGGCTACATTTCCTTATTTGCTGTTTTTTAGTCTTTGATCTGCTAAGTGCTCTACGGTCCAAAGGACAGCTTCGTTTTCATATTATTAGAGCAACATGAAGGGCGGATAATGGATGAGAGGCTGGTGGTCTTCTCCATTGTGGTAAATGCTCGGTTGACATTTTAGCAGTATATAAATATACCAGTAGCAACAACTCCTCTCTACATAAATGTTGAAAGCACAGTTATTGAATGCATTTCTACGTAATACATATTTACATTTTTTTTTTCATTTGAAAATGTTTGTATGTTTGTGCTTCACTACTTTGTTGAAACTGTGAATCAAAGTTTTGAAATAACAGATCAGGCTGGGATACAAATAAATGTAATGAAGGGATGAGTGTGAATGCTCTCATGTTGTTAGGCTGAAAAGACAGTGGCTCTCATGTTGTTAGGCTGAAAAGACAAAAAGGCAGTGTTTTATAGACTGCCTTGTTGGGTTTTATTTTTTATTTTTCTTTAATCTGTTCTTTGTGTTCTCTTACTTCTTCATAATAAACAAAGTCTCTCAAACTCCTAAAAAATATAACAATATGTTTAAATGTCTTCTTTAATTGAAATTTAACTTTACCAATACCGTGAGGGAACTTTTTTTGGGTTACCAACACTCTCCTCCCAGGTTACTCCTGATCGTTTAACATTTTCCAGGGACTTTGGTACGTATAACTGGTAATGAAGGTGGCTTAAGATATGCAGTTTGTAGTTATTTCCTTACTGACAAACGATGTTTCCCCCAGATAGCCTCGACGTCTCAGCACCACCTCCAGGTACTTGACCTCTTCATCAACAACGTAGCTTTCCTTCTCCAAAGATATCCACGCCCAGTTCAATCGGAACTGCTGGTTCTTCAGCCAGTTTCCTCCTGTAGACAACACAAAAGAGGTAGTTGGTTCAGTGAAGTGCCTAAAAGACTAAATCCTTACATTTTTTTAAGCTCTGACTTCACCCAGTAGGTGTGCTAAAGTACAGTTCCTGCACTGTAATTTTCCTGTTTCTCATAAAGATAACAGTGTTTTTACACAGAACTGGGAAAATTCCATTCTATGTTTTTTGATGTTGAAATCAAAGACTAAAATTACAGACCTAGAAGGCACAGCTGCCATAATGTGACCCAAAAAAAGACGTTACACAATCACTCATAGCCACACACAGACATCAAATGCACAGACGTGAACAAAACATCCTTAGATGTTCACACTGAGTCACACATGAATAAAAAAAAAACACTTAAAGTTACAACCAAACACACAAACCCACAGTTTAAGTAAATATTCACTTGTGACAAAATAATAAATGTAAGACAAAAATATCAGTACAAAGTCTTAGAGATCAGGGATAAAAATAAAAAAAAAAGACAAAACCTGGTTTTGTGATCTTGACAGGAACTGGGAAGCATACTAAGAACTCTGGGCCTTTTGAAATTCACTTCTGGATGACATCAAATAAAACTACATACAGTATGATCAAAGATTACACCTCTCAGTAGCCTCAGCCTTCAGGTAGTGCTGGAAATAAAATCAGGTCAGCCCAGGTCAGGAAGGAGAAAAGCAGCATCTACACACAACCCAAAGACTGCAAGGTAACAATGCACTGGCCGACAATAACACACAGGCAACAGCATGGACTGGAAAGGTACCGTGTAACAACAGCTCTACTACAGTACTTGCTAATACCATCTACTAAATCCAGACGGTCTGTTCAAATCCATTAAATCCTCACATGACACAAACATAATGACAACACAGGACTGAAGAACTGATGATCTCAAATGGTTCTGGAAACAGAACAGTAGCAGTCAGTATTTAAACAGAGCTCTTCTAAAATTGATTCAGCACTAAGGCTGAACGATATGGAGTTTCAAACCTCCGACCGTCTGGTGAGAGAATGGCTCGTTCTACCTCCTTGTCCACAGCCCCAAAGGGATACTACATTACAGTGAGAAAGAAGGCGGTAAATATATTGTCCAAATCGATAGTTTAAATACTGAATGTTGATGGGAAAGTCCAACATCATTAGAAACATTAAATCCAGGAGGATCCCAACAACAACGATCACAACATGTCATCTTCAAATAATTGGCAGTAACAATAACGGTAAACAATTGCATAAATCATAGGCAGCAAATGAGTGTATCTGCAGGGATACTGCCCAGTGCCATCACAGAGGGTTCTCAGGTTACCACGTCCTCGACCCATGGCGTTTTGTGGTAAGGTCACCATTTCCAATAAGCTAAGTAATAAAGTTTTCTATCGTTCCAAAGTACAGAGTTGAAACAGATTTTGCACAGAAACTAGTTGGCGAGTTTTGTTTACAATCTGGGGTTGTACGCCATACATTGGACTGTGCTACATTCACTTTCTTTCATTTGTGTTGTTTTTTTGTTGTTTTCACTTTTTGCTGTTCATTATGGCTCCCACGCGTCAGTCAGACTCGTCTGATGTTTTTATGTCCTAGATAATGATGTTACCAACGTGTTAGCGTTGGTGAGTGACATATGTACTTATGTTTACTTTTGTATTTTCAGTGTAAAAAAGTAAATAAAAAAAACAAACAAACAAACCTGGTGTTGCAATGCAACTCACAGTTGTGTCCATGCAAAGTTGTAACATGTTGTATATGAATGTTCTGTATTCCTGTGCTGCACCTCAATCCACCACTAACCCCCAGATATGACGCTCAGGGGAAAGCAGCCTCAATTCAGCCATTTTCTCCAGGTCAACTGCTGCTCAGCAAAGTCAATAAATATAGCAAGTCCTCTAAGAATTAAAGTGATTTTTTTTTTTGGTTTTGTTAAAAATGAGGATTGGCAGTGCTGTACTGGTGCAACCAGTGCAGACAATTGACAGTATGTAACTCCCCCTCCTCAGGGAAGACAACCACAACCCTCTGGCCCCTGCAGAAAAAAAAAACAAGTATAAAATGTCAAACTAATACAACCATGAGAAAGTAGAAGCTGTGCAATTCTTATTCCCTCAGCCAAGTCAATACTTTTGAATCCATCCTCCAGACAGCCTTTGATTTTTTTTTTCAATGTACCAACAATCATACCTCCTCTCAAGGAGCAAAAAGGGAGCTAATTATTTCAAAGGAAAGTTGTCGGGAGCCGGAGGAGCTTGACTGCTTCTTAGGAGTCAGATTTTACCCAGCGGTACCCAAGTTCCTGCTGCTGCTGGATAGAAGTGGCGAGGACTGTCATTAAGCTAATCATCATACATGTACAAGAAGCCAAAGGAGAGCACGACATGTTCTGGATCTCTAAACCACTTATCTTTGAAACTAACATGAGAGTTCTTTTACATATTTATCAGGATTTGACCACTGAAAATACACAACAAAAGACCAAGAGATGTGTCAGAGACAAAATAACCTAAATAACGTATCAACAATTTAATAACAAGGCCTATTAAAGGATTGGCTAGACTATAATTGGAACTATATAGACTATATTGGTTCTCAACCTACGGTGCAGGTGCTACTTGCTACACTTGGACTCCCTCTAGAAGCATAAGAAAGAATGTGAGAAAGAACGATAGCTACTGCCTTCTGGGCGTGTCCGTTTAGGTGAGGTTTCTTAAGTACATTTGAGTAACAGCTACTTTATCTTAGTGTTACTATGGATAATAAATATTTAATAACCAAATAAACTTATTAGGAATATATTGTCATATACTTTGTTAAGCTAATCATGGCAAACACATACACAAAAAATGTCTTTACCTTTAAAATATAAAAAATATAAATATTAAAATATCTGAAGTGATAAATTTGATAATTCAAACATTCTTGAGGTCTACCACAGTATAGGGTTATTATTATTATTATTATTATTCTGCATTACTCTTGTAAAGCCAGACCTCCCAACTACATGTGGATTAAAGCCAGCAGCATGTTCATCTGAGAGTCATGAAGCAGCCTGTCCTCCAGCCACAAAAACACAAAAGGCCTCGGCAATTATTCTCACCAGCTCTCCATGTTGGTACCAGGCACTTGATCTCAAAGTGAGCAACAAAAATCAATGTGCATATGAGCCAGAGACATAAGAAGATATTGCTATTTTCTGATTAATAAAATCTCTCACACCTTCATGTCAGGGCCTAACGAGACCCTGGACCTGCTGAGAACCAACAACACCGACCTGCTTTACGCTTTAAAAAATGGGGTAAACCCTGGGGTCTTTGACCAAATTAAACCCAATACTAAATAGTATTACAGACTGCCGGTGTCTTCTCTATTCTGTGGTGTTTCCTTAAATTGCAGTGCAGCCTCGGAAAATTGGGTCGTCTCTAAAGCCGGTCGTAGAAGGCAGTAAACTCTAAACGACAGTGACAATGTTGCAGTTCAAACTGTCTACAACGTGCCACTCCTATTCAAAGAAAATGGGCAAATAAAGCTTGACACCCTTTAATTCAGGACCCCGGACTAATCTCATAACCTCATGACACAAAGGAAATGGTGAGGTTACTGTTTTGACCTGGGTCCTTTTTTTTAACAAACGCTGACTGAAGCCAGAGCTGACAGCAAACTCGGAAACTGGGTGTGAAACTTCCACTTACGTTTCAAAAGTATTTTTAGGTCACATCATTTGGGCGAAACCGAAGCATTGCATTATTATTATCAGAGGAAAAACTGATAATATCGGTTGGACAATATTGTCGGACACCACGATTTATTCAACATGGTCTGAGAGCAATAATACATCCCAAAGCTGCACGTTCCAACCTCAGAAAGACACAAACAAAAAACAAATCTTTCCAGACACAGTGTAGATACAACAGCACACGCAGTCCCCACACTATCTCTTGAGTAAATATTGAGTTAAGGAGCACTGTGGCGTTCAGGGAGCTGGGAGTAGAAGCGCTCTTTTCCAGGAGACCACTTCACTCCCACAGATTTTGTTCTAATTAAGATAAGCAAACGTTGAAGTGAGTCCACTTCAAAGAGGCTCCCAGGAAAACACCAGAGTTAATTCTTAACCAGTGCTGAAAAAGAATTCAGTGAACAACGTCAGTGTCTACTTTACTATGTTGAAGTCTATTGCACAGGGCAGTTTGGTGTAAGAAAAACACCAAACGGTCCTTCTCTTAACAATAATAGGAAAACAGTTGAGGTGACGTAATTATTTGGAGAAAACATGGCACTGTATGTTCTACACTGTTCATGTCAAGTACAGCTTTAATTTTAAAAGACACCAACAGCTATGGATTTCATTTTGAAGAAATGGTTCTTTGCGAATTTAGTGGAAACATTCGAAAATGTTCTTACTTCAGATGTGTGGAAAATAAAAGAATTATTAGCGTCTTGATCCAAGTTTTATAAATAGGATAAAGGAGTTTGATCAAAAAGATGAAAGTGAGTCACATTGTCCAAAAAAAGAAGAAAAAACTATTTGATAAACTAGTAAGTTTAGACCCTAAACTTTACTTTACTGTAATGTACAGTAAGAATAAAGAACTTCCTGTTTGAGCTCTGACATGTTGGCAAGGGTTGGACATAGTTGGCTACGTATCAACCATCTCTCGGCACTAAATTCATCATGTAGCTCATTGTGCACTCGCACATTGGATGTTCGATGAGGGACGGGAGCCTTTCGAGAGAGGCCAAAAATGTGAGAGGCAGGACAATGTCCGCTAAGTGCTTCTGTCTCCTCGCACAGATGAGGCAGACAGCCCTTATTTGGTTGCCACATAACATTGTGGGGCCACACTGCCCCCATGGAACCCTGATCTGTTCATTCAGCCTCGCAGACAGCCAGTCGGGCTTCGCCCACAGTGCCAGCACCACTATGATTAGTCAGGATAATTTGGGGCTAGCCAGTAAATCCAGTCTAGCTGACACAATGAAGCTAAAAATATTGTTAAACAT